TCTGTTTGCACATAAAACTCTACACATAGGAAGCAATATTTAAAAACAAGACAAAGCTGAACAAAACAACACGACCCACCAGCCAAGCAGAGTAGGGATCACAAGCCTGTGCGCTCTGGAACATCCTCATATTGCAACTCTGAGGGAAGCAAATGAAATTCTTCTAGTTTATGGTTGGTTGAACCTTTTACTCAAGCGTTCATTCAGTACGGAGCTGGCTGAGGAGTCATCGGCAGCCCTGCACCAGGATCTTGGCACCGCAACACTCAGCCCTTAAAGAGTCCATTGTATTAAATCTCATAGTGTGTCATTTATTATTCCTATGTTTGCTTCCATGGCTGTGGGCACCTCACACACTCTTGTTACCAACGTCACTGAATGTGTTTAACAGAAAAAGTAGATGTTTCCACCAGTCTGTTTAACTCTTGCCTGTACTTTCTTGTGCCACTCAGCCTTATCAACAAACCACCTTTTCATTCTCCAGACCACAAATTACAGAATTCTGTCTGTTCTCTTCACTGCATGAAAAGCCAACCGAAACAGATCAAATTCTTCAAAGTATTTTCATGTGTCTTTATTCAGCTGCAGGAATGCTAACAATCAATTGCAGTAGGCTAAAGAAAGTAGACACCTTTGACTATAACAGACCTCATTTATGCGTCTGAATTTGGCCTGTAATTCCTTCAACATCCAATAAGAAAAATAGTTTACAGAGTTCTGGAGGTTGGTTGGTTAGCTTGTTGTGGGCTTTTTTTCCTCTAATGGTTCTGCAAGTTGAACAGCTGACAGCTTTCAGGGCAGCATCATTTGCTCTCAGTTGTGTTTTATTAGCACGTGCATCCTGGATGCAAAAGAGAATACAATCTAAAGCATGCAGAGAATATGAATTGCACCTTTCTGGGATTTATCTAATGGACTTGAAAGTGGCATTAGAGGAAAATTCAGACAGAAGTTTCAAATCCCAGGTTCACTTTACCTACAGAGAGCTTGAAAGCTTTACTTTTGTCTCAGCCTATGTAGAAAGTTGGGACCAAAGGCACTGTAATCTGAATTTAATCTAGAGAATATCCGTTTCAGTTTCAGTTCTTTTAGACAGAGTTTCTGACACAGGGCATCAGCAAAGTCTGCTCAGCCTTTTCCTGCAGCATGTTCCAGTTGAAATCCCCAGGCAGCAGTCATCAGGGCCAGGCCTCTTTTCACTTTGACCTGCTGATGACTGAGATAGCACTTTATTTAACATAAGACTGAAAAACTTCTTTTTTTCAGTGATTTTACAGTAGATACTTTCTACTGCGCTCAAGTCTGAGGTTAAGAGGAATTGAAGCTTCTTGAGAACAAATCATTTGTTTGGGGTTTTTTATGATTTTCCTGCACACAGTATTAACGCAGTGGGGACTTGACCCTGGCTTCAACTTCCAAACATCCCAGTACTGCTAGCAAGGCTTAAGGATACAAAAACTGAAACTAAGCTTTCCAGTCAACCTTTAGGTGTAGAGAAGCACTCATTAATTGAAGTATGGCTGCTGTAACAGAGCAGGCTTAAGGAGGATGGAGGTGTATATAGACCACAGGTACCTTCAGACTTTGAGAGCACCACTGCACCTGTCGTGTTAATATCATGTTAACTTAACTGGACCAAAGGAGAGCATAGCATCATAGAATGGTTAGGGTTGAAAAGGACCTTAAGATCGCCAACAGAAACTTCCATCCTTAATGTTATTAAAAGGGGGTGGTAGCTGCCAGTATGTTCATTTTATGAAGCACATCTGATCTCTATAACAAACCAAAATTTTCTCCTTATCTAGGATCAGATCACTTCTCCCCTACCATTACAGAACTTGTAGTTCTGAATCTGTTGCCCTTCATTTTTTATCTTTGTATTAGAAATACAAAGGGACTTCTGTGCAAGTTGCCACTTGTCAAAACAAGCTCCAAGACAAGTTTCTCATCAACCCTTTCTCTGTTGCAAATTTGTTTAGGAACTGGCCAAGGTTTTCTTAGCACTTAGTTGTAAAAAAAAAAGTCATTGCTGTGCCTTTACCTTCTCGTATCAGATGTTAGTGCCTATTTCAGACAGATAAGTAACAGATCCATGTCTTCAAGAGCAAGTCCAGTTAATTTCAGGTAACCCTCCCCAGTCCCTGAGCTGATGAGACCAATGAGAAGCAGTGTAGTGAGGTGTAGGCTATGATGCACATAGCATCCAAAACTTACTCAACTTTGTCCAGTCAATCCAAATAAAGCCCACATGTGTTGAGGGGTGTCTTTGATCAGCACTTATTTCTGCATGTGGAAAAGTAGAGACTGCTGTCTTGATCACCACAGCAGATTAAAGGTACCTCTGTGGTTTTCAAAAGGTTTCCTGATGACCTTCTGTGGTGACAATTTCCTTTTTCTCAAGACTGACTGTTGACTTGTGAGAGCAACTGTGACACTGTTTCTGAAGCTCATACTAAGAAATCCTATGGTGGAAGAATGAAGTCAGGGAAATGCTTAAAACAGGTCTGCTTAGCAGGAACAGTGCCTATGCTGCTGGCAACAAACAACAGGCCTGGTGTTTCTGTCCCAGTGCTATGGGCTTATTTGGAAGGATATTTTGCCTGCTTCACTGTTCAGTCAGTGACTGATGCTGATGGCATTGCTCTGAACTATTTAAAAGGCCTTGGGGAAATTGCTGTGAAACAAGTGACAACCAATTAGTGTAATTCACATACTGGTGCCTGAGTTAACACTGACAACGAGAATCTGAAGCTGTTTGCAGCAAAGAAGTTCTTGAAGCACATCCAGAAACTATTAACATGCTTCATGCCAGGTGGTGAGAAGGTCACTGGGACACAGATAATGAGCAACTGGGAAAACAAAAATCACATGGGAACTTTTATCTGCTCTAATTTTACCACCAGTCCAGCTTTGTTCTGAGAATTGCTTTGCTGTAGAAGCTAATCAAGCTTTTCAAATGCCTTCAATTACTGAGCTAGAGAAGAATAAGCATTTATCATGCATTTAGCCTTGCTTGTTTTGTGTGCATACACACCCAGCCACATAATCTTCCTCCTTTAAACAACATCCTCTGAGCAAGCCTCCTTTAAATAGTCAATTGCACAGGCCGAGCTAATAACATTAGTCAGTTTCTCCTGTGGAAAACACACTAGAAAGAAATGTAGAAAGATAAGGGATTATCTAGAATATTCAGACTGAACAGGAGCTTTTCTCTGCTCCTTGGATCCAGCTGAGAGTCAGGTCAACACGTCAAGAGCATAGATACAGTGTTCAAGAAGAAACCACTGGTTTTGGCCATGCTAAAGAACAGTTTTACAGTTCTGCCAAGGCATGAACAAAATTGCTCCCCGCTTTATCTCTGTTTGCATTTCTTAGTGTTATTCACTGATGAGCTCAATAGACAAGCATCAGAGAGAACTGGTGGGCCCCAGTGCTGCTGTTTACATGGCAGTTTAAAATGGCAGACCTGCTTTTCCAAGCCACAGCTTAATTTATACTGACCTCACTAATGATGCTAATGAAAAGCAAAGCCAGTGTTTCTCATACATTTGAAAGCTGATCTGCTATTCAGGTAAGAGAATACTGATCTCATGCACCCCATTTCAAAACTATATGTCCTGGGAAAAGCATATTCATCTGAGCTTACCCTTTCTACATCCACCAGTCAGCCCTTCATAAAACCTCCTGGATGTATTCTACACTTAAGAAAAGTTGAACTGAGCAAGGTCAAATGGAAGTCTGATGTCTTGATGAAGCACAGAGATGATGAGAAAATTATCAGTGTGGGGAAAGATGCAGCAAGCAAGGGATTAAAAAAGGTTTTTATATGTCCAAGAAGGAGGATAACTATAACAGATAGAAACACTAAACTGTGCCTGACACTACCCCATTAAAAGAGGGAAAATAAAACTTTAAGACAGCTGCATATCCTATCATACGGTGGATTAGCACCCTTTCAGTTTGTGTACTGCATCCAAATACTTCAGCTAGAGTGCTCCAGATCCAGGACTCCTTATATTTTTTCAAGTGCATACAATTAGTTTATAACCATCTCTCCTGACTGCCTTCGCCAGAAAGCAGGCAGGCATGGAACAGTTGTTGCCAACGCATTTGGAAACATCACTAGAGCCAAGAAATTAAATGTTCATGACCTTTGTGAGGGGTCCAAGAATGTCAGTACAGACAGCCTGCCTACTTTCCACTGAATAGCTGAGCTTGGCCGATTATTCAGAACTAGATGTGCCATACAGGCCTGCAAAGAAAGAGGGAAAGAAGATGGCTCAGTCCGTGGAAAGAGAAGACACTTACTTGTTAGTTATACATAACAGACAAGCTTATATCAACTCATAATTGGCTTAAAATGTCTTAGCAGAGGTACTGCTGTTAGCAGAGCCTTTTTCCTCACCAGGTGATCTACGCATTCCTGACTTTAAGGAGCTGCAGGTTAGCAGCTAGGAAAAGCCAGCCCACTCCCTATATACTAATGGGATCTGTGCCTCTGGTGGAAAGTCTTTTAGGAGCCTGCAAATGTAAAAATGTTTGGAGGCAACTGCTCTGGATTATGCCTACAAAGAGTGCGGTTTAAGCTTTGTTTTATATATCAGGTAGCTAGCTGTAGCATTACGCAAAGCACATTTGGAAAACCAGTATCAAGAGATGAAGGTGCAAGCCTTCATTCACATGAAGAGCACCTCAATGTAAAAAGCAGAACTCTCCTGACTTCATGTCTGTTGGTTAATAGACCATATAAAGAGCTTCTGTCTGACCTAGTATTACTGGAAAATTTCTCACTAGCAGTGTTTCTAATTCATAAGCCTCTCATTTCTCCAACTTGGGGCAGAGGAATCCTGTGTTGCGTTATTTTTCCATGTTATTTTGATTTACTGGACACTCTTTTTCAAATTCACCTCTTATTTCTCTCCACCTAGAACATGCGTGAAGTTTTAGGTAAATTCTAGCTTGTTTGTTCACTTGTTTTTCTTGCCCTTCTTTCTCCACAGAATCTTATGGCAAGAGCCTTGTACGATAATGTCCCTGAATGTGCAGAAGAGTTGGCCTTCCGCAAGGGAGACATTTTGACAGTGATAGAACAGAACACTGAAGGTCTCGAAGGATGGTGGCTCTGCTCCTTACATGGCCGGCAAGGCATCGTTCCAGGCAACCGTGTGAAACTCCTGATAGGTCCAGTGGTACAGGACAGTCCTCCTGGTCAGGATATGTCCAATTCAGGACATATGACACGTCAATCCTTTAATCAGCAAAAGATCTACCAAGTGCCAAGCTCGCATGCCTCAGCACGGGACCCTGTCTATCAAGTGCCACCTTCTCATCAGGGGATTTACCAAATACCCACTGGTCATGGTCTAGCAGGACAAGATGTTTACCAGGTGCCACCCTCGATGCAGAGATGTATTGACGGTCCAGCTTTGACTAACAAGGTGTGTGCATTTGCTTTTGTGTCATAGCTCCAAAGCAGCTCACTTGTGCTGACCACGAGTCTAAGTGGTTAATTTCCAGTGGTAGCCTGTGGACTTTAAGGTACGGGAAGAATAAATATGTTAAGTTAAGACCAGTAACTTTACTGCTGTGGGAGGAAGACAAAGGTCCAGTTGCTTGCTTAATTCACAACTGAGATGTGTAGTAGAGCATTTTGGAGCTCTTCTACCACAGCTGCTAAAGGTGAAGAGAAGCATGTGGTCTTGTGTCGTTGGGCTCCCCAGGGAGGCTGAAGCACATACAGCCTATGGCACTCTTGCATTATATGCTCAAAAGAGAGCTGCTGCAGTAAGATTTACTCACCCACGGATTAATGAACAATTACATCATCTGCTCAAGTAATTTTTTTTTTTTTTTAATTAAAAATGATGTACTCCCTTGCTGGAGAAGTCCCAGTGGGTCTGAACTACAAAGAGAAGACAGTGATTGATGAGACAAGGGCCATGCTTGGAGGGTGAGGGAGCAAGAGGATGGTGATAATGAGGGATGTTTTAATACCACACCTAAAGCTTATAAAGGTGTGCTTGATGTTTATCTACAGCTGTATTTCTTAACTGAAAGTGAAAACTGCAACAGCTCCATCATGCAGCTATTACTGAGGCAGCTGAGAGCTCCCAAGGCTCTAGTGAGAAGCACCGCATTACATGGGTCCTCCCATATTCCTGCTGTCCCTCTCAGGCTCTCTCTGCCTCCTGTCACTCCCTCATTTTAACTTCATGGGGTTCCTCCCAGGTACCCTGGTGACTGAAAAGGGTTAAGGAAGGTACCTGAGGGAGTAAGGAGCTTCTCCTGGGCTTCCATACCCCTTATTGGCAAGTCAAAAGGAAGTTCCTACACTCCCTCCATTCCCAGCTCAACAGTTCCAGCTATTAGCATCCTCCTTACCTTTAGAGCTAGAAGCTCTATCAAAGTTACATGAGCAGATGATGTCTCTGTTAAGAAGTTCCTGACTGGTTTGAACTAACTTCTCCTAATTTAGATTAACAAGACATTCTTTCTTTTCTTTTTTTCTTTTTCCCCACCTCACCCTCAACTCAGCCTTTTTCATATTAGGCTTTTGGAAGACATCTTGTCATGCTTTTATTTCATTGGTATAATTTAATTTTCCTTGATAAGAATAAATGGATTTTTTTCCTTTTGAGCAAGAGAAAAAGATCTGTGAAATCATTCCAAGTCAAGAGGTTTGTTTGCTCTGCTTTAGTTCTACAGTTTTGTTTGTAGGGTGTGCAGGAAGATATAATGAGAAAGCTGCACTTGTTGCACAGGTAGAGATAAGAACTTTGTTGGAGCAATTATGTGGGTTTTCTGGAGAAATCTCACATCTTTTCTTTCCTTTTCTCCTTTCCCTATACACCAGATGTAGTGAAATCTTTTTCAGGAGCAGTATAGTTTACCTACCCACAGTAGAATTTAGATAACCTCCAAGGTAGGGAGTGAACACCTGGTAAACAGCCTATTGATGAAACAGCACAGAAGAGATCACATTTTAGTGTTTGTCTGTATGAAACATTACAGCACTTCGCAGAGATGCCTCAGCTAGCCATCTTGGGCTGCAGGAGATATACCATACTGCAGAGCTGCGCTAAAGTCTTTTGGGAAGCCCAAGATATTACCTTAGAATAAGTGCTATGTACTTTAACCTTAGGACTTGACCTGCCTAAATGATCATTAGCAGAGTTCACTTAGCATAATGCAAATGTGTGTGTGTACTGTGCACAGAAAGAATTCTCTCACTGCATACGAAGTCTCTTCTCCCTCCTTCCACCCTCTCCAGCTCCTCTGACACTAGTAGGACATTCTGCATAAAGCTGGTTGCTACAGGGACTGCATTAAAATCCTATACACAGAGTAACTTTTGTTCTAATTTAAGTGCAAACATCTTGCTGAGATACAAAAATCAGAGGCACTAAAGCATCTGTGTTCTCCAAGGTTTTGCCTAGAATTTTTTCATCAAGGTTGAATATACATTTTTCTGAATTCAAGTCACCTCCTTTAGAAAGTTAAGACCATTTACTTGGCTGACTTGTAACTTGTTTTGTTTGATTCATAGCAACCTATGAAAGGTCATCTTATGTGGTGTAAAAACAAATGGCTACAATGCCAACTGTAGACAAAACTAAACACACACATTTATAAACCATTTTACTCTCAAAAAGTAGCTATCAACCGGTTTAGCATTAGCCAATTATTGTAATTTAGGATAGGCTCACTTTAATCCTGACTTTATTTAGCTGAAGAGCCTCAGGTCTCAGTATTCGTTGTGTTTAGTAGCAGGCTTGCTAGATGGCAAACCTCATAGCAGTGTCCTACTTTGGTCAGACAGACGGGTCAAGTCCTTTGGAATTAGTTCTACACTAAAAGGAGCCCACTGGAACTGAAACCATGGTGGATGAGAAAACTGTAGGGTTATTAGTAAGGGTGAGTCTGAGGTAAAACATACTCCATTCTTTATCATCCTAACTTTGCAAAACCGATTTTTACTGCTACAGCTGCAACAATCTGCTAAGGCCTTTGTTAAAGAAAAGTCTAATTGAGAGGAAGTACTTCAGCACTTGTATCCTTTGAGTAAGCAGTCTGTCCTCCAGATCCTCCTTCTCTTGGGATAAGTAAAAACAACTCTTGGTATTAAGAAAAGATGGAAATCTTGAAGATTTGTTGTTGAGGATCTTTGCTTTGACTTCCAAAATGATGAATCTATTTTCTCAAAGTTGTGGCACCTGCCCCAATTGCTTCAGTGAGCAACTCTGCCTTCTTGTATCATCAGAAACAGCTGGTTAGCGAGCTGTGCATTTTGGTAGTTTTAAGGATGTTGAAGAATTTTGCTATGAGGTCTCCATATATGTAAGCCTTCTCCCTTCCCATAGCAGTAGCTAGAGAAGACTGTGTACTCTAGACACCATTGTAAGCAGGGCCAGCAGCAGCTTCTATCCTATCCATTTCTGCCCACATTTGCCCATTTCCTTTGTGCAAATGTGTGGTTTGGCTGCCATACAAGTTTCACAGGCAGAGCTTAGGATCTGCTGTCGGGTAGGAAGTGTATAGCCTCAAGCAACAGTAAATCAACAGCAGGCATGTCATAAAGCTGTGCTGAGGTAACACATCTCACTAGCCAGAAAGGCAGAACAAGTCAAGAACGAGTCCTGAGGCAGGTAATTATAATGATGAATCGATCCTGGGCAAGCTGGTTGTTGACAACGGAGCTGTATCGGCTCCTTCTATCAAATAAAAATACTGCCTTCTAAAACTTACCGTACAAATGACAGAGATAATGAGGGATGGTTTAAAATTAGCCTTTGTTAGCCCCAAGCCTTTATAGGTGCACTGCAAGTTTCATCACAAAACAGTTACACCCCCAAGTGTGAAGAGTGTTTGAGGATCATAAAGATACAAAAGCTGTATCTTAGACTATTGTCCTGCTTTCTGTGCTCTGCCTTCAAACTTACCTACTCTGCTGCAGCCAGCAAAGCAAAGGAAACTTTGGACAAATCTGGTATTCAGGAAACCTGGGTTTTATCCTTGCCTCAGGCTTCTGCATGGTCTTGGGGTGCTGTTTTTGCACCTCAGCAATCTCATCTGCAAAGTATGTGGGGTAATTATGGGGGAACTCATTCTATACAGACTGCTTTGAGAACATCTTTTGGGAAAGGTGCTGACAAAGCACAATGTCTCTTTTGCATCTGTGATTGATCATTAGTTCACACATGAGCTTTAAACTAGGGAAAGCTACATGTGAAAAAAGGTACCCCTGCAACTTAAATACTCTTTTCCTGGTTCAGTGTTTCCCCTAACTTTTCTGTCGTACTGTCCCTACTGTCCTGCACATAGCATTGGCCAAAAAATTTAAGGGAAAAATTTCCTCATTGGAAGACAGGTTTGACAAATTCTGTAAGCTTCCTGTAGGAACCAGTAGCTTTCAGAACTTCTGATCAAGGGAAATCAGCACAAAACAGAGTAAGAGACTGATGCTCCACAGCTGTTTGACCAGCGAAGAGGCTGCACTGCACAAGTTACCAGCTCTGAACTACAGTTCCCACAAGGCATGGACTAACTTGGGCAAATAGAGATTAATGCCAGCTTGGAACACATCAGCTTTTTTGTTTGTTGGTCTGTTTGAATTAGGAATCTGCAGCTCAGGAAACACTCAGATTTAGCCACCTTTTAAAAGTGGATAAAACAGAACAGGGAAGGAGCTCATTCACACTTGAACATCCCTGGCCTATTTTCATGCCCTTGACAGGTGAAGGATTTCACACCCCACCATAACTTTCTATGATTCTATGATACTGCTATCTCCACCTTTTTCAAGAGTTCACTGCCTTTAGCAGGAGGTTTGGGTAAACCATGCCTAAGGAAACAGACCTTGTTCCCTTGTCTTTATTTCTGTCAGAGTCATGTTAACTGCATCCACGAGAAAGTGGAAACACCACCCCACAAGCAGCACCACCCTGACAGTTCTGGCACAGACTTCAGTAGCAGAAGCCAGTTAGCCACATTATGACGTTTTTCCTTCCAATTAAACAAGTGCTGGTTTAGCTGGGAGGAAACAAATGGCTGCATATAATGTTTGTTCCAGAAATAAGCCTGCCTTTTATGTTACAGTCTTTTTTCTTGCCTATTTTCATATTTATGATCTTAGAAGAGACACACATTAAGCATAGTAAACAGCTGTGTGGCAGATATATTTTGTCATCAGAAAGTCTGGGAGCGTATCTTGTATTTTGTAGTTTGTTGGCAAAAATGTATTTACATTTCAAGGTGGAAGAATGTCCTTGCCTACCCTCAAGTCTGAAATACCACAGCTTCCTGTGATATTGTTTACTTAAATGGCCCAAACAGTCTTAATATAATCCCTCTTTTCTTCTGCTTTCAGATTATAAATTCCACTTTGGGGATTTGGATCCCTCGTAACAAAATACTGCTTCAAAGTGCTGAACACACAGCA